TCTTTTCTGTGGTGGCCAGCGATAGGACTAGAGGAAACAGCCACAAGCTGAGGCACCAAAAGTTCCACAGGAACTTAAGGAAAAAATTTTTAACAGTGCGGGTGTCAGAGCCCTGGAATAGGCTGCCCAGGGAGGTTGTGGAGTCTTCTTCTCTGGAGATCTTTCAAACCTGCTTGGACACAGCCCTGTGCCACATGTTCTAGGGGACCCTGCGTGTGCAGGGGTGTTGGACTAGATGATCTCTAGAGGTCCCTGCCAACCTTATGAATTCTGTGTTTCTGTGATTGGGTCTACACCACTCGCAGAGTATCTCTCCTCAGATTGCTGCTACAGCTTGGAGGGGAAATGAAAAAAAAATGCTGTTTTTAGGCTCTTTTGTATGAGTGAGCTGTTTTTGTTATCCCTTGACAATGGAACAGAATATATTACAACAGAAGTCTTTTGATATCCAGAAAATACTTTCTACAAGAATATTGTGCAGATATCACTTCATGTCTATGCACTGTTGTTATTTTTCGTTTAAATAATAGCTTTATTTAAAGATATGGAGAGTGTGCACCAGAAGTGAGTTCCTGGTTCCATTGCAGCGGATGAGACTCCTGTCATTGACTTTGGAAGAAGAGCCTACTTTTCTCTTTTAAGGTGTGTTTTTAATTTTAAAGGTTTGGAGATTTGGAAAAGAGATGGCTCTATGACAGCAAAAAGTGATAATGTATGCAGACTGCATATAGCTGCAGTAGTAGCACTATGAAAATTTAATATAAGTCTAATCAACATAAATTTATTTTTTGAGACAGCAGGCTTGTTATGGCTCAAGCCCAGCAAATCATTAATCAGCTGCCTAATTTCATGCCCGTGACTCATGTGTTGGCTTGAGAGAACTCCTATACTTAAATCTATTCACACAATCCAGTTTCTCAAGGAATTTAACTCTATGAAGAGTAGTCTTCAACTCTTACTGCTATGTGGTTCTTCAGTCATGTATCAATGTTCAATACCTGATATCTGTGTGAATATTGTGTGTGCAGCTAGCTTTCTCATTCTTGATATTCCTGATGAGAGGTTTTGAGAGAATTACAACATTTTTACTTTCTATGAACTTCCAGTATGGAGATTGTCATACCTGTAATTACTCAAATAATTTGAAATATTAGGTGTTTAAGTAATGGTAATGCTCCAGAGGTAAAAGGGGATAAAGTTAAGCTAGCAAGTAAAGAGTCTGGCATTAAAATAACAGTGAATGTGGACTGATCATTACAAATGTCATTTTACATATGTGCTTCCACATATATTGTTTGGAGATAGAGTATTGTGCTAAGGCAAGTGCTGTGTAAAGTTGCAGTTTTATGCTTGAAAAGTTTTATGTCACAAATACATAAAATAGCATCTGGTTATTGAAGGCAGGTAGATGAAATGCCTTCACCTTTTCAAGGTTAGGAATCTATTTCAGTAGTCTGTTAGTGGATTGGACTCTGAATATACACCTGTGTTCTAAGAAAGATCATCCAAAAGCTCCCTTGTAACCTTTCCTTTAATGTTAATGGAATGTTAATAAAATTAGAGAAGATCAGCTTTGTGAAAGAAAAGCTAGAGATTTTGTTAGAACATTCAAAATCTAAGGAGACAACTGTTAAGTTCATTCATAGTCTGCCTTTTCTGCCAAATATCCGATAATGATTTCACCAACCTCCTGAGTGCCAAGCTTCACATTTTGGGAGATAAAATGTGTTACATAACTACTGAGGTGGTACAGATTTCCCTTGATTTCAATTAGATTGAAATTTCTGGGCAAAAGAAGGCTTATAACATACTGATAGACATTTCTAGGTTAGTCCTCTGTATGTCTTGTCATGTATCAACTTCAATTAGTTGCTATTTCTGTCACAGCATGTTTAACGTGTAATTTAAAATAGCAAATTTTATATAAAAGCTTGGACATGACTATACAACTTTTCATTTGTTAATCCTAAGCAGTAGGCAACTCATGATAAACTTGCATGCAAACTTGTCAGTATGTACCTTTCATGGCGAAAAAAAAAAAGCAGAAATAAAAGCACACCCATTAATCAAGTAACTCATTCAGCCCAGGACATGGTGTCCTTTTCTCTCAAATGAAACTTTAACTGTCAGAGGAAAAGAGGAAAAGAGAAGCAGTGGAGTTCTACGATGTTATCTGGATTATTTCTATGACTAAAATTATTAAGATAGGCAAAAGGGAGTAGTTTGTCATATAAAGTTGACAGTGGCGATTAAATGTAAGGGCCACAATAAGTGGGTCCAGGTAGCTAGACTATCAAGTGTAGCTATTTGTTACAGTGAGACTTGCATAAAGTCTATGTACTGATGGATACAAAGTCAGATAATATGGAAAATAGCTAAAATCAACATCAAGTGAAAATAAATGCTTAGGTGAAAAAGATAGGGGAGTTATACTTGTTTAAAATGAAATGTTAAAAGAGGTACAAAAATCCCTCAGCCCTTCAAAAGCAAGTAAAATATACCGGATTTTCTCTGGGAAATATAGATACGATAATTTCCAATGTGCCATATATCACAGTGTATTTTTGGTAACATTTCAGAGCCAGATTAAATACAAATTCCACTTTATTGCAATGTAGTACAGAAAATAGACAGATTTTGTTAAATATTACTCTAAAAGAACAAGCTATAAGGACTTGCAGTACAATCATGGTTCTATATATTCTGTGGCAAACAGAAGCAAATTTTGCTTCAAGGCAGTCTGTTGCCTTATGTTTTGTTGGTACATTTTCATAGGAGTAGAAGTTCCTGAAAAATGTAGGTTTTCACCTAATCAAGTATTAAAACAATCTCTTTTCAAGACCAGAAAAATGGCGTACAAAATTGCTATATTGATGCTTCCTTTAATATTTAACATAGCAAAGTGCTTTCAGAAAAATGCAAAATCAGTTCCTGCTGTTGGAAAAAATGTTGTTTTACCCTTTAGTGTTAATGTTGCATAGTTGTTCCAGTGTGACAGGTGAGTGCCTGGGAAAACGCATTTTAGAAAGGTGTGTGAACTGTGATCTTAGTATTCCATGTGGTCTCTTGGTCATTAAAGACTGTGTTTTTTCTTTGGGAATGCTTTGGGAATCTTTTTGGCAGCAACTAAACACCAGGGCCATTGTTTTAATTCTGTTCTGAATCCTTTTGGGGCAATATTTGTTCTTCCTCTGATAGAAATACATTGGGAGTTTAACAAATTACTTGAGTGCATAGAAATTTGAGGTATTTTCTTTGGATTTTGGACTTGAGAAAATAAGTTATTTTATGTAAATACAGTGTCAAGTGTTTTCTGCATACTCTTGTTGCACTTACCCAATGTAGCCCTTCTGTTTTCCATGTGCCATGGGAGGTTCTGTTTTGTTGGAGAAAGATTCAGTATCTGGAAAATCTTCAAAGTGGGATTGTAACTGTTCTTTGCTACAATGCAGTCCTCAAATGATAAAATGGTTTGGAAGTGAGAAGTGGCACTATAAAATGTTTGCTTGCCTATTCTAAATCAAGAGTGAGAGACTTCTGCATGAGTCATGCCTCACCAAAGAGGCTTTATTCAGCAATGAGCAGATTTCAACATATCTTTTACATGAAAGACTCTTACCTCTATTATATTTCTGAAAGGCAAACTTAATTGCAAAGTCTTTTGTAGTACAATAGCTTCAGAAAATCCCTCTGAACACATTTCCCAAATTCTAACACCTGGCAGCAATATGAGGTTACATCTGAAAAGAAGAAAGGGCCCTGACACACCACTAAGTTGCAAATTGGTGCATTTTAAAAGACAAGGGTCAAATTAAATATCGAGATGAAATTCTGTCAGCGTTGCAGTAAATTAAAGTTGGGCCATAAAATATAACAGAAGGGAAATTTATTCTAGAATAAATCCTCTCAAGGGTTCAAAACATACTTTATAACATTCTAAACTTTTTTTTTTTTTTTTTGAATTTATACCGTTGCTTGTATTTTGCTCACTTGGGAAGTTGAAAATATATTAGCTTTGGAGTTTTTGTTCCTAATTATTCTCTGCATTCTAAAAAAACCCTAGGTCATTGACCAATCAAGTTTTTTGCTAATTTGTATTCAGTATCAAGAGCCATAGGGATAGGTTTTGATGCTGACATGTGATTAGAGCATGAGACTCAAAGACATCATTTTCATACTAAAGTACTTTTTTATTAACATTTCTGCTCCTTTGACAGTCACTTTAGCTAGCTCCACGGTTTAATGAACACTGGTAGTGTGAATAATTGATTCAGTATACAGAGCTGCAACACAATTATTTTTTTAACAGATATATTTTAAATTTGTAGTTAACCTTTATTGCACTAAAGGTTTATTGCTTAAAAATGTACTCCCTTTGAGAAGTACTCAAGTAAAAAGCTGTTATATTCCATATGTACGTGGTGTATGGAAGACGTATTTTTAAAATTCTTTGAAAAATATTGAACCAAATTTTCTGTTAGCTTTCTTTGGCAGTTTCATTTTGTAAGGATCATTGAGCAATATGTTCTCAGTGCATAACACAAGGTTATAGCAAAGGAAATATATGTATTTTGATAGGAGTTACAAAATGACAGTTTTTGAGAATAGTAACTTGGTGACTCTTGATTATCGAAATTATGGTTTGCCGCTTTGGGGCTTAGTTCAAATGTTATCTATGAATAAAATAGCCCTTGAGTGATTCCAATCTTGATGTCTTCTGAAACTATAGGTTTTCTGAGAAGGAGGATGCTGTTCAATATCAACTTTTCAACATTTCTGTGATGTTGTTAGAAAGGCAAAAAGAAAACACGTGGGTAGTTATTTTTGAGATCTTTCCCCTGTAAAATGGTGACTAAGACAAGGCTAGCTAAAAGCGGAGCGAAAAAAGGATGCATTTCTTATTTGTTTTAAGTGGTGTGAGAGAAAGAATAATGTTTGAAGAATGGAACATTTTCTTGTGTTGGCAAAATGTAACTAAAATAAGCATTGTGTCTTTTTAGTTAAGCAACCTGAAACAAGTCACAGTTGTGGATGTGTCAGCAAACAAGTTCCCTTCTATTCCGATTTGTGTACTCCGGATGTCTAATTTGCAGTGGTTGGATATGAGCAGCAACAACCTGAAAGATCTCCCACAAGACATAGACAGGTAGTTTACATTTTAATTCATGTGTATGCTCATGAACTAGCAAGATAACCCAAAAAACGACAAGCTTCGAAGCGATTCAGTTAATGAGAAGTCATGTAAAAAAAAAAATCCAGAAATGCATTAGATTATTTATTTTGCAAATGAACTCTACCATTATTATTTCTGGAATAAGTTGAAGAATAAACCCTGCATTTTCCATTTCATTGACGGATTGCCCAGTCAGTGCCTCAACTGTGCAGTTAACTAATTACATTTTCTGGTTCATTTGTTGTAATATGCCTTCGTATCCAGATAGTCCTCCTGAGGAAGTACCTGAGCCAAATTTGTCCCCCAGCTTAAGTAGAGAGGCCTTGCCATACTTAATTGGCAGCAGCACATCTCTGGAGTGACCTAGATGGGTGGATGAGATGAGGGAAATGTAGACTAAAGCACATTTAAGCTACTGAAAAATCCTGGTAATTTTTGGCAGTGAAACCTAAAAATTTCGAAAAGATTAAAAGAAATATTGACAATCCTCCTCTCCCACAGGGAAATATATATGCACATATATACTTTTTATTTAGACATCCACTAGGGTTAGTTTCAAATAGTCCATCTCCTTTAAATGGGAACTGTTGGCCTTGGAAAGCATCTTTATTATGCTAGAACTGTTTACTCTCTTTGAATTCCTCCTGTAAGTTGGTTTACTAGATTTTAGCTACAAGTAAGTCAAAACATGTATTAACTGGTGTTTATAAAAGCAAGCAAATTCACTGTCTATTGATCAGTGAATGAAAATCCCCAAGGTGAAAGAGACTACATAGGAACTTCACTCATCCTTCAAATTCCTAAGACCTTTATGACTAGGTGCAGAGACTTCTGTAAGACATTTTATAATTACAGATTTCTCTGATTGCAGAAATGAAGTCTTAATTTGTTCTTAATTTGTATTAGTAATTCAGATGTTCTAATCATGATGCCAACTTTTTTTCCCAGACTGTTTGAATAAAGATTTAATTAACTTAAAATAGCTTTAAGAGGATATTTTTGCTTTGTAAAAACTACATATTCTATTTAAGTGCATTTTTCCCCATATGATCTGTAACCTCTTTAATTTTCTTCATCGCATAATATACTCATTTTCTACATCAATCCTGATATTAAAACATCGTAGTGAAACCCCACAACATACTTTTTTTTTTTTTTTTTTTTTTAATCTTATGGTTCCTGAATTCTGAAAGTTATGCACTCAAGCGTGTTCTAAAGACTAGGAAATGTCACGTTTCTCCCTGTTAGGAAATGACAGTTTTCCCCTGCTATCCAAATTGAGATTTGCATTTGGCCTCATGATGCCTGAGGTATTGAAGAATTTCAATCATTACTATGAAGTCTGGGATAATATTAATAATAAAAAATACTTACTAATTTTCTCTTTCTGGATTCAAAGTAATTATATGGGTCTTCTAAGCAATAATCTGCATACACCCTCTGATTGAACAAGCAAGTTTTTTTCTTCAATTTGATATGCTTTTGTCTGTTATACATGCCAAGGAATAAATGCTCAGGTACAAATTACCATTTCATTAGAAGAACTCTGGATAAACAAAGTCAAAAGCATCCCAACACTTTCCTCCACAAAACTTCATCACTAAATTGTTTTTTATGAGACAACTTGTGAAAGAAATGTGAGCAGGATTTATTATTTTGTACTTCTTGCTATGCTAATTACTAGTGAAAAAAAAAATAGATGGGAATATATTGCCCAGTAGAGACATATCTAATACATAGAAAACAGCCATTGGACCAAATTATAAGCTTGTGACCAAGTTTTTCATTAGTTTCTGACATACCAAAGGTGAGGCTTTACATTATACTTTGTCAACACTTTCTATATGAAGTATGCAACTATTTTTTAATCTTTTGCCTTGGGTGTTCTTCTGAGTTTTCATAACTAGGCTATTAACACTTATCTTTATAGATATTAATCAAATCATGACTGAAAATGTCAACTAAAGATGATGAAAATGTTTGCGAGAGGTTATATGAGTAATATTGGTGAAACTGAGAATGTGACAGGTTACTGTTTTTCTCTTCAAGATTAAGTGCTTTGCTATTTCAGGTGGATGCTCCTGATGAAATAAACGCTTTAAGCTATCTTTATCTTTTATACTTTTACAGGTTAGATCAACTGGAGACACTTCTCCTTCAGAAAAACAAGTTGACTTATCTTCCCCGAGCTCTGGTCAATATGCCAAAACTCAATTTGTTAGTTGTCAGTGGTGATGACTTGGTTGAGATTCCCACAGCCATCTGTGAGTCAACCACTGGTTTAAAGTAAGTAAAAATGAGAGAGAAATTAATTTTAAGAGGTAGCTATGTGAAGGAGAAATAGTTTCATCGTATCTTTCTACTGTATCTAGGGGCCTCTACAGAGGAAATAGAGAAGCTGCTTCATCTTACATATGCATCTCTTAAGCTTAGTGATTCAAGTATTCTCTGTTATGGAATGGTGTTTTGCTGCTTGTAGGGGAACAATGAAAGACCTTTTGTCTGCAATTACAACAGTCCTGTGCTTCTGCAGATGATACTCAGGTCTTGTATGAAACCACTTGGAACTGACAGCAATTCAGAAGATTTTAAGCAGAAGTGATTAATTGGAACAATTTTCCTTTTAGAAGTAACAATCATTTTATTGATTTTTTTTTCTCTTTAGAGTGATAATGCCATTAGAGATTTTTTAGAATTCTGTACACTTGGTTTACACACTGTATGACTTGCTTGCATAGCTGTTAGCTTTTTATCCACAAGATGTAGCTTTAGGCAATTTACAGAAATGGCTTGATGCATACCAAAACATCCTTTGTAACAGAGAAATAACATAACAAAAACAGTGATATAAATATATATCATCAGCTAAGTGATACTGTTAAAATTCCTTATTGCTAGGCACTGTTGTTGTAATTATGCTCATACTAACCATTAACTAGTGTAGAATTAGAGTGTTTTGTCAGAAGTCCGTAATGAAGAAATACACATACTATTGCAAAGAATAATTAATGTACATAAACTAACAGAAAAAGACGAATCTGATAATTTTTGTCTGGACTGGGATACAGAGAAGGCACTATCTGAAATATTTCTGTAATTAATAATAGCTCCTAAGGAATCTGTAATATAAAACTTAGGCACATATTCCTTGAATTTCACATTTGGTTTCTGTAACAAATTCAAAAGTGACATTCATATTGACCAGTCATGTTTTTGTATCTTTCTTTCTCTACAGATTTGTAAGTCTCAAAGATAGCCCCGTTGAAACTATTGTTTGTGAAGACACTGAAGAAATTATAGAAAGTGAACGTGAACGGGAGCAATTTGAGAAAGAATTTATGAAAGCCTATATTGAAGACCTGAAGGAGAGAGGTATGTGTCAGCTCCCAGTAAATTTACTTCCAGTAAAATATCTTGGATATAAAACGTGGACATACATTAGATGAGTTTGTTTTTAAGAGTATAACAATAGGCCCTTAAGTGAAATATCTCTTATGATATTAAATAAAATTGAAAGTGAAAATTTCAGATGTGTTTTGTTAAAGGTTTAGACCGTTACTACAACACTTGAAATTGAACAAACCTCTACAGACTTAATAGCGTGCTTATACATGCATTAATGTTAATTCAGTGATAATGTATTACAATGATTAATCATATTCTCCTGGCTTGCTTACCTGTCTTGGGGTATGCATTAGTTACTCTTCAGTGATTTTGAATTCCTGAAGAGACTCTTTCCCTCAAGAAGGAGCACTTGCGTGTATATAAAATGCCCTTTGCCTTGATACAGAGCTCTTGAATTGATTACCTGTATCCATGTAGTAGTTGTTCAACCATGGAAAAATTAATGTAGTAAAATTGTTGCTTTTGTCTTCATTACAGAGTACCTGCAAGCTTATACATTGCTTGCTGTTATTGTTCTATGTTATATGTAGTATGATTGATTGTTTATTCTTAAATATGTAGCAAAATATGACAAAATGTTGAATCTTATTTATTAAAAATATTAGGAAATAAAGGAAAAATTCCCTGTGAGGCAAAATATCCATGTAGGATCTGTTTAAATGTAGGGTCTATTTAAATCTCTTTTGAGAGTGTCTTTTTATGGCATGAATTTAAGAAGTTTCTCATTCCTTTCATTATGTGTAAGTGGCCTGTGTAGTATTTGCATATTTCTGCTACAGCTTTGTAGCAGAGAAATATGAAAAAGAGTGAAGGATGTGGTTTTGTTTTGCTAGCACTGGACTAATTTGCTCAGTGAGGATGTGGATTCTCTGTTCTTCAAATCCCAGTCCAATGATTGGACCTGGTCATGGTTGACTTGCTCTAGATGAGTCTGGTTGAACAGGATGTTAGGACTAGACAATCCTCAGATGTGTCTTCGAGTCCCAACTGTTTCCTGAATTTGTTCCATGGCTGAAAATTTTGGTTCCTTAGCTTAACATTGGATTATTTAAGCCATCTGCATCTAAAGTCAAATCTACTGCAAAACAAAAAGTTCCAGATTCTGGTAACAGTAACAACAGTGGTGAAAAGAGGAAGCAAAGGGATGGAGAAAATCTGAGATCATAATTTGGCTTTAGAGATATGCATCTCATTACAGAAATGTGAGGTGGTGGAGTTATTTGTGTGCTTGTAAAATGTAGAGCAGCAGCTTATGGCTGCCAGACTGCAAGAAAGCCCCAGTTGGCAATGTCAAGTGTATGACAGCTTTATATCGTTTTGGGGCAAAACGATACAGAGAATGTGATGCATTTTCCTGTCTTTCTAGAAAAAAATTTTCTCTGTGCTTTTTTATGAGGCGATTTGGATCATGAATTCCTTTTAGATATCCTGCCTCTGAGTTCTTGTGACATGGATTATACTGATAGTATCTCCTGAAAACCAGGACGAGAGGGAAATATCTGCTGTATAATATAGAGCAACAGAATATCTGAAACACAGCACAGAAATGTCTTCTAGAATCAAAAGTTCTTGGATGGTACCCTTGAAAAAAAAAACAGAGAAACTTGCTTCTAGGCAAAGACTCCATTTATTTGTATCTGATTATATAGCTCAAATTTGAGTTGTATTTTTTTCTCTTTCAGATTCTGCTCCTTCTTATACTACGAAAGTTTTATTCAGTCTTCAACTCTGAAGATCCAAAGTCTCTAAATCAATAGCGGATATCAGCATAATTCTATTTTTATTTACTAGGATGGAGAACATTGAAGTCATATACTGATGGAAGTACTTCAAAATAATTATTGAAAATTTTATTTTTTTGTTTTAACTGCTCCCAGTAACTACTGATAAGATAAAGAATAGTAGAACCTTCATAAGATGCATATTTTTTTCAAGTCCATAACAACAGGCACTGAGCTATACATAGTCCTGTTAAAAGCAAATACTCATAAAGTATACATGTGCAAAGTTGCTTGCAGAATCAAGACGTAATATAGTCTATAGTGATAGTTGAAACAGTTGAACATAATGATTTTCAAAAGATATGATCTTGAAAGAAGGGGATAATTAATTTTGAAAATGCATGTTATCTGTTCTTAAAACCAAACAAGTTATGAGTTATTTGCAATATTTAAAAGATAAACAGGCATATAGTTTGTGTTTACTTTCTGTTCTTCAAGCATGCTGTCTTCGTATGGATTTTCAGTTTAGATGATTTTCAATAACTTTCTGTATAGAATCAGTGGAAATTATGCAGCTTCTTTTATTTAAGCATATTCTAAACATGTAAGAGATCATAAATCAGGTAAAAATGTGGCTGAAACTTCCTTGCTAATCAGGCTTATAACATGGTGTTGAATTTTGTAAGCGTTTAAGGAAAAAATGTCTCTGAACAAGTAAAATCTGGAATATGATGAAAGAGGTCTTTTAATAGACCCAAATGATGGGATTCTGTGGACATTCATGTAATTGGGAATTCCCAAGTTGCATAAGAATGAATTTGCTGGCTAGCTGGTAAAGTTATTTTGCTTCCTGTTTAATAGTGTGTTTATATATAGTTATATAAGTGAATATACCTTAGGGTTTCAGGTATTTAATTTTACATTTTTGTTTAATAAATACCTTTTAATCTAAAAGGTCCTGAAATTTTGAGAATTTAGACAGTCAATTTAAATCAACTTAAAGGAATAAAGGTGAGGGAAATGATGTGTAATGAAATAGGTAAGATATAAATGTGACTTACACCTGGACTTGTGAAGTAGAATGCCACTTAAAAGCAAGGCCTAATAATAAATAAATAACAGAACAAAACAAAGGACTTTTAAACCTTCGTTTCATATAAAAAGTACTGCTTTTGATATTTTCTTTCTTTTTTAACTTTTTAACATTATTTCTTTTGAAGGAAGAGAAATAATGTAAATGCTATTTCTTTATTCTATTCAAGCTCCTGCAGTAATGTTGCTATGCAGAATTAAACTATGTGGAGTTAATTTCTAGGCATTTATGTTGATTCTCAGTCAGTCTTGCAGCAATGAGAAATTCCTAAAAAATGCAAGAAAACTAATGCTATGTCACATTTTTGAGAAGGAATAGGGATGGTTCAAGTAATTTATAGACCTGTCAAATTGACATTGTTCTGAAATACAACAATGGTGCGCCTTAAATGGGCTTTTACAAGGAAAGACCCCAGTATGCTTAAGAAAACAAGAGATCAAAGTGGGTTTAGAGAAAAAGGGATTTTCTGAAATACCAATCTTTCTTTTAAAGAAATCATATTTTTTTTATTAGCTATTGAGACTGATGCAATAAACTTCTGTAGGACATCTGATTTGGCATTGCCCGATATTCTCATCACAAAATGAAAGTAATATATGCTTTATTTGATTTTGTATCTGTTTAAATTTGACTTACAAAGCTTAAAAATGTAGACATCTTAATGGAGTGTGGTAGACTCCACTAAGAAGCCCATTTCTGGACTTCTAATGTTTTCTAATAAGATCTGCTGAAAATCTTGGGAATGGACAGTATCAGCAATGTTTACAGAATGGAGATCTCTAGTCAGAGAAATTCAAGAAACAATCAGCTACTTGAGTTTCCAGGACAAATTCTAGTCAAAATTACTGAATGAGTAGACAGAAGTACATGATTAGAGAAGTGGTACTGCCACATTTTAGCACTGCCCTAGATCTTACTTGGAAGAAGTCTCACTTCTGCCATTCACAGATAAGAAGGATGTAGGTAAATTGGAGATCATTCAGGAAAACAAGAGAGTGGAACAAATAGAAAACATCCACGCAAGAAGACTGTTTTGCTTTTCAGTGGAAAATCACATCCATGAAATAAACTTTTTTTTTTTTTTTTTTTTGAAATGGCAGCAGAAAACCACAGTAGGGCAGAAGATCAAAACTTATATTCACACAGTTCAGATTAATAACAGCATGTGTATTTCTCAGTAATAGTGATCATTGAGACAACTCACCAAAGGCTGTGATGTTTATGATAGATTCTCTAACACTAGTTATCTTTTAAGTCCAAATTAAGGTTTTCCTTAAAAAAAATTCACAAAAATTAAGTCATGGAAATTCTAAGTTCAATACATATAGGGGATTGGGCCAGTATTCCGCAAAATGACTTTGGGATTCTGCAAAAATTATTTTCTTCTTCTGTAGCATATATCCTATCTATATTTTTATTTATAGGAAAAGGGGATTATTTTTTGTCATAGAATTTGTCAAGTAGCTGCATCTAAGGAGAAGATGGCATTCACATTCAACTGTGTCCATTACCTAAGAAGTAGGTGGCTAATGTCAGATAAATCAGAAACTTAGAAACACTAATTTTAGCATACTTGTGGCCGTATACCTGCCACCAAGTATTATACTTCCCCAAATTTAGCATCTTTCTCCTGCTTGGCAAATAACCAATACCCAGAAATGGCAAGTATAGAAGCTTGTAATATACATTATAGAATGCTCACTGGTTGCAATATTCATAAGTAAAACAGATAATTAATTTTTATGGTGTTGCTTTTCCTAGTTCTGTATTGTTCTGGCCTTGTTTTTAAGTGGAGCTGAGTAAGGAAGATATCATGAGAGCAAATAATGTGAAATTTAATCAATTAGCACCCAACAATAATGTAGCCTTGCATCAGATTCCTTTAGAAATATCAGTGAACAGAAGTCAGCATATCTCTTATTTTCTCTTGCAAAATAGCTTTAGTGAGTTTATTTTCTGTAAAGGAAACAACCAACAGAATGATATACAGGGAATATTCTCTGGATGACATGACTTCATTTCAATATAGACTATGCCTGTCTCCACAGAGAATGTAAGGTGTCTTAAAAGCAGTTTTTCTGATTTTGAGGCCTTGACTGAACTAGTACCAATAAAAAGAAGAGCTGTAACTCAGCATAACTGATTATGTAGCTCTTAGATAACGCTGCTATAGATGAGGGTTGGGCAGTTCATGAAGAGTCTGCCCTGCTTCTTCATCAGCTGAATCTTCTTGGGCTGATTGTAGCTGTATTATATTCCCACAGCTCTCTCTTTCTCTCACTCCTTGACAGGTATGGGAGTTGCTCAGGATAAATAGGGGATATCCATGGGAATTTCATCCTATGCAAATTGGTGTCAGTGTAAAACGAACATTACAATACACTACCTCTCTCTCTGGCACTTTTTGTTTTCATGCTGCCAACTGTAGTATGATTGCATGAGTTTTGGCAAAATATTTGCTTCTAAGATGCATTTTATATCTGAAAAGCAATTATATCTGAAACATATTCACGTATTTTATTTCCCATTAATACTTGCATCCTTTTTCTAAAAATCAACAAAGTAAATCAACTGTCAAACTGTGGTGATAGAACTGTAAAGAAGACTATCAGTCTAGAGAACAAAAATACGGTCTTAGGCATTTGCAAGAGCAGTATTTGTATTAGGCATTTGTGAGAGCAGTGTTTCAATCTAGACTAACATTACAACATTACATTGCTTTAATTTGTCCAAATTAGTTGAGTTCAACATTTCATATATTGTGTATTGTCATAAAAGGACAAAATAACATCAGAAAAAAATGTGTTACACAGAAGGGTCTTAATCTGCTAAATACATGTGCTGCCTCTTAGAGATATCAAAGCCACAGTCTGCCTGGGATGTGTGATCAGATCTGTCATGTGTGCACTTTTTATTGTATTTTGCACAAAGAAACACCAGAACTGGTTCCTTTTGGACTTCCCACAGGTTTATGAATGGCATGAAAGGTGGCTAAATATTTCCTTGTTATTTTGTGTTTGATGGCTTAAAATTTGTAACGGTATGTAACTGGTGTATCTGTATAACTTTCTGCTAAAAGAAATATTTGAAAATAATTTGCTTCTAACTCCTTTGTGTTGCTACACTGGCCCCAGGGAGGTGGGTGCAAGTGTGCTTTTAAGTAAGCTCTAAGTGCTTTTACTAAAGGTGAAATCAGTATGCAGATACTGGCAATTGCAAGCATCATGGATAGGACCTCAGATATCTGAAAAAAATGACATTGTGATTATTTATGTTTGTTTTTACGTTTTACAAGGATTCATATTTCTGAGGTTCATATCTGTATAGCTGTGGCAGCTGTTTTCCTAAGAAAAGGTTAGTGGTTTCAGGGAGTGCATGATTTCAGGAATGCAAGTATTTTAATTGCAATAAAATGACTGTTGGTGAAACCATTGTATTGTTGATAATGACTGGGGATAGACCTGCTTTTATGTCACAAGTAGGCTTTGAACTTTTTGGAAAATCTTTCTGTAGGAAAGATTCTGGACAGATGTTTTGTAATTTCTCTATTCTTATACTTTGATTTTGCTGTAGTGTTGCCCTATAAGCTACTCCTTCCTCTTAAATTCAGCAATATAGTTTTACTCATGAATATAATTCTGAGTCTAATGTAAGCTTATATAGCATAGAGCTAACATAAGTGGAGTTCTCAGAGTAAAAGGAAAGACTTCAAGATTCCCTTTGGCCTATCTTTTCCTTTCCTATTTTTTCTTTGATTTGCAGTCTATTATTTATCTAAGAGTTGAAAATTTAAAGATATTTGACATTAAATTTGCAAGAGTTTGTTGCTTAACTGGTACTGAAAATCAGCTGCCAGACTGGAATGTCCCCAAATCAATTGAAGTAATTATGAATTGGCACATGCTATGTGCCTAACAT